TATATATAAATTATTATATATAAATGTTTATATATATATATATATATATATATATATATATATATTGTTATAGTTGCATATAAATAAAAATTAACGGATTTTATTTTTAAAAAGATTATGATTTTAAAAATACTATGATGTGTTTTTGGCAATATTGTTAAAAATGGCACTGACAGATAAGTGAAGCAACATTCTTTTCCTCTTTTTGGTTTTCTGCTCCATTGAGATAATTTGGCCGAAGTTATACCAACATCAATGTTATATCTGTAAACAATCTTTAATCACAACGAATTGTGGGTGGGTGGATTGATCATTCATTCATTCATTCATTCATTCATTCATTCATTCATTCATTCATTGTATATGAGCAAAGGTATTATATTATAATAATAGTACATATAATATTTTTTTTTACAAATAATTGATATATATGTATGTATGTATGGTATTTAACGTGTGGTTCTTTGATGTATTTTCATTGGCTGTCGTCTTCGCTGCCGTGTTGGTCTTCTCCTGCGGTATCCGTGCAGCTGCTCCCGGTACTCGCGGTGGCGCATGGCCACGTAACCGCAGGGATCACACAGATCCTGAGACACAGAGACACCGGACTGAGATGCTGCAGCATACTGTGGTTAAGGCAGTCAGATATCGTGTTGTACTGTACCGGGTAACACGCATGGAAGAGTTTGTAACCCCCCAGCAGCAGGTAGAGCTCAGGATAGTGCAGGTTGGGATACACATTCACTCGTCTGTCCAGCCGCCTCAGGTACTGACACCTGTTGATCAGGTAAGAAGTGTGTGTCATGTGTCATCATAAACACACTCTGTGTGTGTGTGTGTGTGTGTGTGTGTGTGTGTGTGTCAAGTGTGTGTGAGTGTCGAGTGTGTGTGTGGGTGTGTGTCGAGTGTGTGTGTGTCACGTATGTCGAGTGTGTGTGTGTCGGGTGTGAGTGTTGGGTGTGTGTGTGTGTGTGTCGAGTGTGTTTCTCACAGTTGAGGGCCTCTTTCCGATGAGAACTCGCAGTGGAAGATGATCAGTTTCCGTGGCGACGAGCCCTTCTCCTCTGGGAGTGAGTCAGATGAATGAGCCGCCCGCTGTCCCCTCATCCTCCAGGAGGAGGCGTTTCCTGCGGGGCAGGGGGAAAGTTCAGCTCCTGCCGAGGCCTGATGCACCGCCTGCTGGATCTGAGACTCAGCGTACAGATTCACTGCTCCCTGAATGAGTTAAAGGTTGAGATATGAAGACCAAACATCCTGCTGATGAATTCAATGTGACATTAGTATATAAAAATATAAAGTTTGGAGTCAGTTGATACTTTTATTGAGCGAGGATGCATTAAATGGATCTAAAGTGAGAGTAAAAACATTTATGAAGTTACAAAAGATTTCTATTTCAAATAAATGCTGTTCTTTTGAGCTTTCTGTTTATCACAGAATACTGAAAAATACATTATGGTTTCGACAAAAATATGAAGCAGCACAACTGTTTTCAACATTGATAATAATCAGAAATGTTTCTTAAGCATTAAATCAGCATATTAGAATGATTTCTGAAGATCATGTGACACTGAAGACTGGAGTAATGATGCTGAAAATCCAGCTTTATATCATAGGAATAAATTACATTTTACAATATATTCACATAGAAACCTGTTATTTTAAATTATTATAATATTTTATAATATTACAGTTTTTACTGTATTTTTGATCAAATAAATGCAGCATAAATGTACTGTTCACAGTATACATACTGTTAGTTTGCTATTCCGATCATAGTCTCACTCGATGTTTGGATTGATTTATAAGTGGTTTTGAATAGTTATTTTCAGGTAAAGTTGAGTCTGGGCATTGGATTGATTAGATCTTTAATGGAGATACTCAACATGAACACCTCATTACATTAAAACACTGAGTAATTGAAGGTTTAAGTACCCTAATGTGTCCTCCTTGGTACTCGTACGGGTAACGACAGTCAACGATGAGGAAATCCTGGACTGCAGGACCAAACTGACCTCTGATCAGCGACGCCACCTTCAGATCAGAGCAGACAATATATTAACCTCAACTTATGAGATGCACATCATTCAAATAAACCCATAAAATAATTGTGAAATAACTTGTGTTTCCATCTCAGCTGCTTTGAGATTAAAAGGAGATTTAATATGAGAAAGAGAGAAAAAAACACATTATCATCACAGCGTTTTGATCTACTTTAGCCTAGAAAATGTTGCTGATTACTTACGGTGTGAGCGCTGACACAGTGAAGCTCCTGATGGCCGCCACTCTCAACAGGAAGCAGGTGATGCTATGCAAATAATTGAATCGAGACTGAAAACATGAATAAACTATAATTTAACCGTAATTTGTTAAAACACCATGTTTAGACTTATATCACCTTTTTGGATAAAAGCATCTACTAAATGCATAAATGTCAATATTAATCTAAAATATAAGCATTCTGCTTTTAAGCAATCAATAAGACACTAGCATTCAAAAGTCTGAGGTTGGTAAGATTTTTTTAAATGTTTTTTTAATTAGTCTTCTGGTCACAAAAGCTACATTTATTTATTTTTAAATACAGTAAAAACAGTAATATTGTGAAATATTATTACAATTTAAAAGAACGTATTTCTATGTGAATATATTGTAAACTGTAATTTATTCCTGTGATGCGCAGCTGAATTTTCAGCATCATTGCTCCAGTCTTCAGTGTCACATGATCTTCATGATGCTGATCTGCTCATTAGAACCCTTTTCATGCCTAGATAATTTCCCCATTGATAAACCTCATGCATGTCTTGAGGAATACCATGTTTCACTTTCAAATATGTCATATTGTTTCATTTTGGTTTTGCAGAACCGACCTTACTGAAGTCTGCTATGAGTGTGACGTCACTGACGGCGTCCTGGGTGACGCGTGTGGGCGGGGCTTTCCGCCGTGACGTCAGCTGTCCGAGCCTCACAGCCGCCTGCAGACGAGCAGAGAGTGAAAAACAAACAACACAAGCATCTTTCACCGCAGGTACTCTCTGTTCGTGCATGATCGCCTCCTCACCGTCTCTGGTGGGTGGCTGGCGTCCTCTTCTGGGTCACTGCGGTACTGTCTCCATGTTCGGCCCGCTGGTTCTGCCTCATCTGCAGTGCAGAATCCACTGGAGAGACGCACGCGCACTCGCTTCTGCGGGACAAATGTTGAGGCCTTCACTTTGAATGCAGGTGCAATGAAACACGCCCTTTATGAGCTTGACCCAGTTACAAAACAATACAGTGCAAAGCACCAACATCATGCCAAGACACACAGATCCACCTTATTATATTACACGGAATTAAGCAATTTTCTGTG